ATTGTGGTGGGCAGAAGCCTCTCCATGCCCTCCCCATGTCTCCCAACCTCTGGTAGATACATTCTGTAGAATCCCTGAAAATGAACATGATGTCACTCCCATGACTATATTGTGCCTTACTGTAAAAGAGATGGTCTAGCTGTAATTATGTCCCAAATAAGTTCACCTTAAGATAACCCTTTAAATCTGAATCTAGATATCAGTCAAAATACAGAGTTTGACCCACCTCTCCTAACTTATTTATGAAGGGCCCTGTATGGCAAGCAAACTGAGCACCCTTTGGGAGCTGAGAGCAGACCACTGGATGACAGCCATCAAGGAAATGGAAATCTCAGTCCCACAGCCACAAGGAATTGAATTTTGCCAACAATAGGAATAAGACTGAAAGCAGATTCATCTGTAGAGCTTCTAGAAGAAAATTTATTCCAGCCAATACCTCGATGTCACCTTGTGATATGAACCTGAGCAGAGAACCCAGCCATGCTATACTGGACTTCTGAGCCACAAAACTGTGAGCTAATAAAGAATGCTAAATTTGTAGTCACTTGTTACAAAGCATGGAAAATTAATGCAACTGTGAACAGATCTTCAACTACAGCAAACACCTCAGATCCTTTGCTAAACCCAAATCATGTAGACTCCCCTTACTTTCTTCTCCTTTCTTCCCACACTACTAAACATAGAGTTGATTTACCTGAGATCTTGCAAGCTCAGTCACATCTGAAAAATTTTTTTCAGGACAAAACCAAAGGAATTTACTTTGAACACAGTTAACCTACAGTTTCTTTTAACATAGCACCAATACTCAAAACTGTCCCTGACCTCAATCACCCAATAATGCTCATTTTGAAGGCTTAAAGCATATTATTTCAAAACAAGATGCAAATATAGTTAGAAGAAAGAAGCAGTTGTCCTAATGCTGAGCTTTACTCCAGTGCAGCAGGATTTCATGGCAGGCCCTCCTGATTATTTAATATTCACTTCATCTCCACTGGAGACTATGAGGCTGAATAGAGATGATGTCTTGGGATTGTTAAACATAACTCCAGAATGCGTGCCTGAAGCACATTCTGGTTGCTAGAAGATGTAAGATAGAAGAGGCAGAGTGCTCTGTGCTGATGTAACACTTCCTGCTGAATCTCCCAGCTCAGCCACAGTAAGAATTTTAAAGTATTTTGGGTCAAATGTTCATCTATTTGCAATTTAAGGATATTTAAAAAGTTATCCACTAAGTCCCACTATAATTTGAAAGATATATTGGAAAGTAGTATTGGGACTTGGGAGAAGATGTTTCGATCATGAATTAAAATTTCATAACACTACTATAGCATTTTTGATGGCACTTTCATCTGGCTGGGAAGTATTTCCCTCGAGTTTAGCTGTGCCATTTGCATTTTTAATATTCAGTTGTTTCTAACTTTGCTCACACTTATTGACCATGTCAATATAGAACCTGAGGAAAGTACTGGCACTTCCAAATTGTTTGCTACATAATATTCCTGTAAGTTGTTTTTACATAGATTATTGCATGCAAATACTATTTTCCCTTGGAAATAATTTTTTACAGAAGTAGAGGATTCTTGACCAGTAATTACTATTAGAGAAATTGTAGCTATAACAAATATATTATAAAAGAAAAGATTAGCTGGGTGCAGTGGAAAGTACCTGTAATCCTCAACTCCCAACACTTGAAGGCTGAGGCACAATGATATAGCCAGTATGAGGCCAATCTGGGCAACAGAGTGAGACCTTGTCTCAAAAAAGAAAAAAAAGAGATTGATGGTAGGCTTTTCTGGATAATTAAAAACTTAAGAGATAAAAAATACATTTATAAAAAAATATAAACAATATATAAACAGATTGTTTTTGCATACAATCTAAACTAATATATTAGCTATTAATTAAAGTGAGCTTGTTTCCTAATATTTAGAAAGGCTTTCATAGAAGGCTATGAAAGGTCTATTTTGCTTTCAAAGTCTCTCAGGAATTGTCGACTAAGTGCCAATTTTCTTCTCCTACAAATTCCTTGGAGCAAAAGATGATGCTAAGTCATATAAATTGTCAGAAAATTATGTTCAATTTTAGATTTTTTTCAACAAGGCATTGAATTAGTTAATGCATATGTGTGTTCTCTAGGTATATGTTCACGTGTGTACATGGTTTGTGCATGTGCACGTACACATGTGTGCATGTATATGCATGTGCATGCACAAAGAAGAATCAGAAGTCCATTTTCTTTTTTTCTGACTGTTCTTCTCCTTCATGCATACCCACCCACTTCCTTCTTCCTCTTTGTCTTCCTTCAGGTCACATTAATGCAAATTCTTATGGAAAAATGTGAAGGGGTAAAGAAGAGAGGAAGGTGAAGTGATACTTACTTTGACTTAGAGATGACTGTGGAATGAAAGATCAAAGAACAGGGGTTTACTACAGATGACTTTATGGATATAACTATTTTCATACCTTCTGCCTATTGTATTCTTCTGTATCTCCTGATTTGGCTCTGCTAGAGATGGACCCAATAATGATCAATATGGTATCTAGCCATACTAGATAAAATTTAATGAGCTAAACAATAAATTTGTAAATGTGGAAAGTGAGATGAATCCCTGTCCATATTGTATTTTCACCAATCTTAAAGTACAATTTGGAGTTATACTCACATCACTAGGAGTGACAGAGAGTGTGGGATACAATATGATAGCCTTATGATTAGTTTCTTATTCCTCCCCTTAATATTTCTATCTTTTTCCTTTCTATGGTTTCAGACATGGACACCTGACATAAGTGTACCTATAAGAGTATCTTGTTCTCAACACAATTACTGAGCTTGGGTGGACTTGTAATTCAAAAAAGACAGTCAGATTTTCTTACTAGAATTGACATACAAATGATATGATGGAGAAATACCCTTTATGTTGGTGTGAAGAATCTGGAGCTGCCAATCACCACTGTCACTAGCCACATGAAAATAACTTGTCTGTGAAGTGAGGAGGACCAGAAACAAGTAAAGAAAACAGAATTGGGATGGATCGGTGGATGGATGCATGGATGGATGAATAGGTGGATAGGTGGATGCATGGATGGGGAATAAGTCTTACCTTGTCCTTCTCACCTTTATAGGAAACAGAGGTGGCAATAACTATGTATGAAAATGTTCCTCCCCAATTTGATATTCTATTCATAGTTCAAATTCATCAGCTACTTTGGTTTTGTCTCCTAGAGCTAGCAACTTGAATTATTACAGTTCTAGGGATATTGAATAAGCTTCAACCTTAAGAAATAAAACAATCTGAATAATAAGCACTATCTTCCACCAGCCTTCAAACTCAGAGGCATCCAAATGCCTACTCCTAAGAAATGAATGAGTCATACTTCATGTTTCCAGGGAGGCAATGGGATCTGCTGATTGTTGGGCCAGTTGGTACCCATTTTTCAGAGCAACATTTTCATACCTTGGTCTAAGTCTTTCCCCCAAGTGGGTCCTTAGTCTTTCAGGAAGTAGAGTCCATGGTGCTCTTCCCTCACTAGTACTTCAAATGTGACCAAATTTTAGGATGAACAAGTTTAGGCCCAGACTGGGGTCCTGGCAACCTGGGCTCATCTCATTTTCTACCACCTGTGCCTCTGGTCTCTGCTGCCAGAATCTGGCAAATGATATACTTGCTGGGCCAATCACTGGGCTGTGGATGGATGACAGGATGGCCTAAAGCCTTTGGCACTTATGTGGGGATCCAAACAAGAAAAAATGTACCAAGTGTAAAGAATGGTTTAAAGTCACTTTCTTAGAACATGTCCAGCAATCATAATGCATAGAAATCTTTGGATCCTGACTCAAACAAACTAATATAATGAAATTATGAATAATGACTGAATATTTGATAATAGTAAGTAGATACTGTCATTTTATACACAATAATAATGTTATGATTATGTGCTTAAGGGTTTCTATGTTTTAGAGATACAGAATATGGTTTAGATATAGAATGTCCCCCAAAAGTATCATGTATTTAGAAGTGGGGCTTGGGGAGGTGATTGGATCACTGCAATGCTATATTCATCAGTGGATTAATCCATCAATAAGTTCATAGCTAAATGTGCTCTTAGGAGGTGGGGCCCTGGCTGGAAGTGGTGTGTCACTGGGGGGGATGCCTTCAGGGTATACCTCCCTCACCAGGCTCCCTCTCTCCCCACCCCCTTCCTGCATGTCACTGGGTGAACAACTTGCTTCCACCAGGCCTTTCCACCATGCTGTGAGCCAAAATAAGTCACTCCTTTAAGTTGTGAGAAAGTGATTAATATAGATAGTGAAATATAAATGAATAAAAAGATACAAAGGCCAGGATTTGCTTCCAGATAAACCAGTGAGGGTGAAAGGAGTGGAGAGAAGTAGCCTGGAGTAGAGATGAAGCATCTCTGTTGATAATTGCTGAGTAATCATTACATGGGTTTTCAGTGTACTATTCTATCAATTTCTAGATATGCCTGAAATTTTTCATAAGAAAAAGTTAAGAAATAATTTTAGGGATCTCATTTGAGATTCTGGAATCTCTTCACTACAATTAAGTGAATTTATCTAAATTAGCATTTCTCAGATGTATTAAACCTAACCCAATGATAGAAACTGTTTTGAAATGTCTAGTTATCACCAAAAATATACAAGAGAGTCAAGCTGTGTACACAACACCAAAGCAAGCTAGAAAAAGTGATATTCCATCAAACCACAAATATCCAGAAAATGTTTATTCTCAAACTAAACAAAGTTTTAGTAACACCTCTGTCCAAGCAAAAACACTATCTCCCCAACTTCTGGAATAAGTGGTCAGTTTAGACTTCGTTTCTATATAGTGCCATCAATCACTTTTCAAATCTTGCTGCTGCAAACACATCCATCGTGCCAGGAAAAAAACATTTAAGTAAAAAACAAACAAACAAACAAACAAAAAAAACCATTCAAGCAAGTGTTCTTCTACATAGTATTCAGAGACATGAGAGAGTACCTGTTTGAAGTCTGTTCAGTCATGGGCCTTTCGAAGCAGCAAAATAGTTCACATAGGGCTGGGGATTTAGCTCAGTGGTTCGGGTGCCTGCCTCACAACCGCAAGGTCCTGAGTTTGATCCCCAGTACTAAAAAAAAAAAACGTTCACATAAATGGAGAGCTTAGGGTGCCTAATATACATCTGCCTGTTTCTCATTTAATCCAAATCATTGTGAGTGTATCACTGGCTGTCCTCCCAAAAAAGGGAGGGTTGGTTTTATATACAGACAATAAAAAGATGTTTGAAAATGGTATGTTGAGCAACTTCACTGTCTGCTGTGCATCATTTTTATTCACTGTGAGGAAGATGTCATCTATGTAGCAGCACTATCATCTGACCGTGGTTGGACACAAAACCTTTCAGGAATGTTTGGTTTTATTCTCCCCTTCCACCCAGCAGGACTCAGTGAAGAAGGCAGACTGATATAATGAGCTAAGCTCAGCCAGGGTGCTTGGGCATGGCTCTGAAGAAAAACAACCTGACTATTCCCAGGTGCATCCCCGGATACTGGCATCTCCTCCCCCTTCCTCTCATAACCTCTGATACACCCAGCCCTGGTCAGCAGTGAGCTCTGAAGACACTCAGCCTTGGAAATACAACCATGCTCCACTTCCCCAGCAGTGCTATCCAGGCATCCCCTGCAATAGAGCCCCACATGCAATAGTGGGATGTGTTTCCTTTTGCTTCTCTAAGCCACTGATCAGGTATGAGGGCCTTGGCATCACATGCCCCCCAGGCCCTTCTCCAGCCTCACCAGTTTGGCTTGGTTAGATTCCTGCCTTTGCTACCTTATTTAAACTCCATTCCAGGGGTTCTGACTCTTGCATCAGAATTACCTGAGGGTTCTTATAACACAAACTGCCAGCTTCACCCCCAAGCTTTTGAATCAGCAGAACTTGTATTTCTAAATGACTTGCCAGGTGATGCTGAGGCTGCTGGCCCTTTTGGAAACTGCTCTAGAGCTCTCTTTGACTCTGGAGGCTTTCCTGAATCCCAGTCTTTTTGGTTGGTGACTTCTTTTGTCCTTTGACTAGATCTCAACCTTAACCTCAGAAAATCATGATTTTTAGTCTGATTTGAGACTCTTACTGGCTCATTCAGACCTCTGCTTAGACATCACTTTGGCATGTTTACTTAAAGAAGACAAAATTCTCTGTACTTTCTAGGACATTGTGATTTCAATTTACACTGTCACAGTGCCTGTCCTACAGTTGGACTAGCTCATCCACTGTCAGCTCTCTGTCTGCACTGTGGTCCCAATGCTAAGGTTCCCCCCCCTGCATAATCAAGCCAAAAGGATAGTATTCCAATTCTACAACTCTCTCCAATCCTGGAAACATAATCACATGCTGGAAATGTGGTTCTGGTGCTACCCTATTGATTCAGCTTGTTATTGTTATTATTATTATTATCATTACTATTTTATCACTATTATTATTATTATTATTATTATCTCCTCCACCTTAACAGACAAGAGAGCTGTATAAATAAACAAGCTGGAGAATTATGGTCAAGTGTTTTTACTCCCTAGGGGTTCCAGGTTCAAAACAACAATGTGTAGATTCCAAGGCTCCACCTTCGGTTATAATATTCCAATTTGATGGGGCTGGAGAAGACCCAAGCTTTGCTTTTTCTCAGTTTTCTTAGTGTTTACAATGTGCAGCCAGGGCTGAAAGCCACTGGTCTAGACCCTCCTTTCACAAAGAAAACTCAAGACACAGCAAGAACAGTGACATGCTACAGCTCTACAAGCAGGTACTGATATCAGACCTGAGGTTCTGACCTCCTAATTCCTAGTTGAGAGATGTCATGTGGGGAAGGAAATAGATGCCACCTTCCCACTTCTAGGCAGAGTTGAATCAGAGCAGGAGTTATCCAGCTTGGCTGTATGTCAGAACCATCCATGGAGTTTGCTAAAATGGATATTTGGAGTCTTACCCCAGATCTTTTAGCATGGAGATCTCCAAGGTGATAAGGAAGAGAAGGTGGGTGGAACTCCCCCTTCACGACAATGTGCCATCAGCATGCTGAGCACATTACCGTTGACCTATGTTGATACAGTAGCTCTGGAACTGCTCTCCTTGCTCTGGTTGTGATGCTCTGTTGTAAGCTCGCATCAATTCTGATTTGGGTTCCAGTTGTAATCTCCTAGCTTAACATTTGTCTTGTGAATCTACCTTCTTTCCCTATCTCCCATCTTTTCCAACTGTGGGAAGATGAGCCCTTTTTGTGTGCCAAAGGATGTGATTCTATCACGGCTGGGCACACTTTCAGAGGCCTTTCCTCCCCATACAAAAACCGTGCCTCTTCTCTCAGGGCCTGGAAAACTGGATTCATTATACAGACCATTAGCCATAAAGGCTTCTGGGGCTATTAGAAAGAAACAAAAGTTCCCCCAGTGGCTTCCATGGATGGTTTGAAATGTTTGTCATTGTCTTCAAACAACAATATGTCACAGGAACATATAATTTGGCTGACTATGAGCAGCCCCCTGACTCCTCACTGTTTTATTTATGTCATTTATTGAAGCTTTTAAAAAATTGTTTTTCACAGTCAGCCTAATGCACCAATGGAAGCACACTGTCAACCTTCAAAAATCAGAGTCTCATCATCGTGAAGTAAATATGTTCCTGCTCTTTTATGGAGGTTTTAAGTTGTGTTCCATTGAGAAAAGAAAAATGGTGTATGTGTGAGACAGCATGGTTTAAAATTCCCCCAGGCTTGGGGGAGGGTCACCTGGGGTTCTGGTATCTTTCAACAAAATGTGGCAATTTATTTGTGGAAATCCCATTATAGCTAATAGCAGTTAAAAACCATTTAAAAAGATAAGGATGTCTAGCCATTTCAAGATTATTTTGTGAGATGCACCCTGCTAAAAAAAAAAAGAATAAATTTTGCAAAGAACATCACAAATCCACTCATACCAATTCAACTCACATAAAACAATTAAAACTAAATAAATCTGATACCAGTGCTAAATGCTTTTTAAAATCTCTCCTTAAATACATCAACCTTAGAAATTCTCACTCCTAGAAAAACATATGCTGCATATTTAGACATCAGTGGCCATTCTCAGGCATCCCTCTTTAAGCAAAACAAATTTGGTTAAAATTTTAAATTTACATTAAGATATATAATTTGGGGGGGGGGGGTATGGGTACTGGGGACCGAACTCAGGACCTTCTGCTTTTGAGGCAGGTGGTGGAACCACTGAGCTAAATCCCCAGCCCAAGATATAATTTTTGTTATAATTTGTAGAAAGGGAATTTTCAAACCTAAAGAACCTTCAAACTAGAGTGAATTGTATTCTTGAACCTCTCCTCCTCAACATATTTGACAGCATTTAGCCAGAGACATAGAAAGAATGCTTTTCCAATTTACAAAGGAAACAAAACTGAGTGAAATAAGTGATCCAGTAGGGAATAAAATAAAGATGATTCACGTTGATTTTGACAGCCTTGAAGAAATTGTACTCTTTACTAAAGTAATTCTACTCTCCAACTGGAAATTGATTCTAGGAAAAAAGTTCTAAGGATGTTAGAAGAGGATATAAAAAAGCAAAATAAAACTACATGCATAAGGATGTTCAATACAGACTTATTTATAATAGGAGAAACAATCATGGTAATATTAAAAGAATGTTGTAATAAAACATAATTCACTCATGTAATGAAATATAATGCTGTATGATAGTTATAAAAAGTCACAATGAAAGTAAGTACTTATTAAGATTTAAAACCCAGGTTAAAGACATAGTATCAAAAGTTTTAAAAAATATCTTAGCAAAATATTTAGTGAAAATACAGTTAGAGAAAGAAGTCTAGAGTGGTAACAACTGACTCATTCTTCCCTGGTCATAATTTTCAATCAACACAATCACCTACTCTTTCTACCACCTGACATTTAGTAACACCTACTGGGGCCAGCACTTAGGGGGTGACTTTACTTTCTTCCTCTCTATGACTTACAATTTCTGTGAATACACATGCAAGAAGCTGCAGTGTTTTCAAGAGGACCTAGTTATAACCAGATCCTCTTGCTGAAATTACAAACTGATATAGGCCTTCCTTTTTCTTTTACAGTGCCAACTCCAGCCCTGTTAGCAGCATCCCAGATAACTCAGGCCCCCTGTTCTTTCTGCTTTTCTGCTCTGAGAGATGCTCAAATTTACCAACCAATGGTGGGAGTTACCCCAGCAAGGCCTGAACCTGGAAGACTTTCTGAGCTAGTTCTACTCCGCTGTGACTCCCCAGGCCAACAAACCAGACCCCAAAAGACAAGGAGGCCTCCCTGTACCCATGAGGGCATCTGCCAGAGCCAGTAAGGGTATCTGAGGATCCGGATCTATGCGGCAGAGAACCATGCTGTGAGCTCTGGAAGATGGCACAGTGGTGAGCAGCAGAGAGAGGGCCTTTCCAAGGCTTGTTGTTGTTGAAAATTGAAGCCCACTGGGAGAGCAAAGACAGAGCAGACTATAGCAATTGGTGAGTTGCTGGGTCCAGAACCTCCTAGCGAACCTGGACCTGATATAAGGGAAGGGCAGTTCAAACCTGCAGTAAAATCTTGTAGAGTTCTAACCTACATGACGTCAGGGAGCTCAATTCTGGCCTCTCAGCCAGAAAGCAACCTGAATCTCACTGGATTAAAGCTGGTTCACTGAAACTATTCAACTCAGCTCTGCACACTGCTTCCCATGGTGTATACCAGCAATAGCAGAGTCACTCCTAGAAGGGGACCCTTCCCTTCTTGCTTGCTTTCTTGCTTTATTACTTCTTCTTTTTTTCTTTTCTCTTACTTCTGTTTTCTTCTCCATTTCTCTCCTTTCTTGTTCCTATCTTGTCCTATTTTATTATTTTCTTGATTGTTCTTATTGTTAAGAGTGTGAATACAGCCAGGAATTTAGCTCAGTGGTTCCGGGGCCTGCCTCGCAAGCTCAAGGTCCAGAGTTCGATCCCCGGTACC